CCACGGATCAGTAGCGGACTCCTGTGTGAAAGCTGCTTCTCCTCTCACAAGAGACACCTAAGAGGGGAATTCACCCCATTTTCAAAAATGAAATTCAGGCCCTGAATAAATGTCTAAAAATCCTGATTGAAGTATCACTATAAATAGTTATAAATGATAAAACGAAGGCTTTAAAAAGATTGGTATCGGTGATCGTATCGGCAGATACTGCTTTCTGTGATCGGCCTCAAAAATCCTGATCGGAGCACCCCTAGTAATTAACCTACAAATGGCTTACTTACAGCTGTCTCTTCATATTAAACCAGGACAGGAGTAAATTACAGGCTGTGGATGGGTGGCCCTGTGGCCTGCAGTCACAACTAGACTGCCACGTCTCAAGTTTCCCTATACTTTCATTCAAGACCCACTTTGGTCCAGGACCAGAGCAGCCCTGAGGTATTCTGGGGTATGGAACACAGAAGGAATGGGGGCGACACTTTAGAGTGACGCTCTGCATTACATAAGATCATATGCTAGTATCCAGGAGAACAGCTGATTTATCACTCCACGCCAAAAAAGGATTGATGTGTCCAAACATTATGAGGCCTATTTGTGTCACTTGCCCTGCCTGATTTGACATTTATTAGACTGCCACTATCTGAGATAAAAAGGTTCAAGCAAACAGCAGCCTCATGGCACAGCGTCAGACGGATCTAGTGAGAATCATTCAAATTCTGCACAGAATTCTGTTATAAACAGCACTGACATACGTCAGGAAACCAGCAGCGGTAACGCTAACTGTAACCATGGTGTTGTTTTAGAAATAGTTGAATGCATTTCAAACACTTATGTAAAATTTAAAAAATACATCAAATCACAATTATAACCAATACGGCAGCAGAGGAGCACTTATTGACCTATTAATCATTAATTTCTACTTTTTCTCTATATTTTGAAATGATAAAATCACTATTATAAAATAAACGATCGGTCTGTGCAAGAAACTGAACAGTATTTATATCGTTTTTTAACTCTGATTTTCACCGCAATGTCTGAACTGTCCTGAGCGTGTTCGCGTCTTCTTCTTCAGCCGGCATGTGAGGTGTCGTCTTCTTGCTTTACGGCGGATCGCAGACTTATAAGTGCATTACCGCCACCTATCTCTCAAATGGACCA